CTTTACTGCTCTTGCTTTATCCTCTTCTTCCACACTGTTATTGCTAAAAACTGGCAGTTAAATTCAATTGATTCAAAATATTCTGGATCCATATGGCCTAAAACCCTGGAGCTGAAGTTCTGATATTGCCTCACTGCTGTTTTCTAGCATTTGCCTCTACTCCAGTCCCCAGATGGTGGAAGTAACATTTAAACCTCCTTTCCTCTGCCTTGTACAATAGACCTTGGCACCATTTCAACTGTTTACTCCGGTAATTAACAGCACTGATACCACAACAATTACAACTCCTACAATCTTAACACAATAATGCTATGAATTAGTGAGAGCTAATGGCTGGAAGGTATAGTGGTTCCAGACTGCGAGATCTGTGCATTTTTAGAATAAAATAAAAGGTACAAACAGCACGCTTGCGGTAGACAATGATTACCTAGTAATTAGTTTACACAAAGCTTCCTATTTAATGGCAAAACGCTGTAATTAACGCGTGACAGAAAATCAAAGGGTACTTTGTAAGCATATGAAAAATTAACACTGCAGGCCTATAGTTTTATGTACTGATTAGAAGCATATTAAATCAATAGGACATACAAACCAACAGCTTGCATATCTGATTATTGTAAGCCTTCGGAATGGATATCATGGTTTTAATTTAACCGAGGGATACAATTATCATGCTTTATTTTCCTTAGGATTTGGAAATTACCTGAAACATCACCGTGGCAGCTCCATAAATGTAATAATAGACTGAATGAGAACGCCACAGATTGCTCACAGATACGGTGAATACGGGAATATTTAGGATATTTTGATGACAGAGCGTTGCCCGTTCTTGTATAACTTCCAGCTTTTTTTGTTCTGTGGGCCATTAGGTTCTTCCTTAAGCCTTTGAGTTCTTTCTCTTTTCCTATGAAACACTACATCAAATAGGAAGAAAATTTAAAAGCCTATCAAAACACTGTAAACGGATTTTTTTCCGTTGAATTTTCAGAGTTTCTGGCCCTCTTCAGGCAGAAAATATTATCACACCTGCAATTGTGTGTGCACAAAAGCGGCAGCAAAGGCCACTTGCAGAAGGACCCTCGCCGAGACCCCGTGGGGTTTCACCACGGCCAACTCGCCGGCCTGCAATTTTTCTGCAGTTTCTGCAGTATTTGCTGCATTGCTTTAGAGCAAAGCTGTTGATGTTGCAAAAGGGGATTAAAAAGGGGATTAAAATGATATCAGAAAGAGGGAAAAGAAAACAACTTTAGGAGCCTGTACTGTGTTCAAAGACAGTCTGAAATGGTAGTGTTCTGGCAAAACCATATTTCCAAATTAGTGGAATTCCAATTACTTTGAGAGTATGATGACTGGCTTTGTTTATTTGTTTATAAACATGAGCTCTTTTCTCTGAATTCCTTACTTCAGCAAAGAAACATAGTTAGGAAATGAAGCTCATTCAACTAGTTAAAAACCTCCTCCCCACTATGCCCAGATAATCATTGCTCATCTAATTACTTCTTATAGAACTTCCAAAAGTTTACCAATAACCCTTCAGTTTTAAGATACCGCCAGCATTTTACCTTGCCCTTTCAAATTGCAATTTTCCAATAGCAATCAATTGTTAATCCTACAACAGAGTTTAAGTATTGCTTTTTCGACACTGAAAAACATGGGGTTTCTGTTTGTTACCACCTTCTGAAAAAAGATTTTGGGCTTCTGTTACTCATTTTAATGAGCTAACCAGGATATGGTTTATGTGAAAACAACTGACCCAATATTGTGACACAGCCAGAGATGGTGAGATTCAAACACTGCAACATTTAAAACAGGAGGTTACCCATGCACATTAAATAACTATGAACATCAAATAGTTTTTCTTCAACAACAGATATCTAATGGAAAGGCTTTTTATTTATTGTTTTTTTATTTTTTTAATTTTTTAACAGCTGTGTCACTATGGCCAGTTGTAACAGCTTAATCAGAGGAACACTTATGCCTGTTTGCTCATCTCCTTTTCCATTTTATTTTTTTCAGGTCTTTATCCCCACACCTACCCCGTCTCTGGCTCTTGGCTGAGTATCTTTACCTTTACTATTGCTGCTTGCATCGTATAGGTGGTCCTTGTGGTAGATGAACAGCTAAGGTAATTCTTAGATTAACCTGACTATGGATATTGCCTAGTGATTTAGGTACTGTTTAGATGTGTATAGTTATACAAGCTGGTGGGATGCCTGTGATATATCTATTTATTTGATCTAAATCAAGCAACATAATTTGTAGACTACAGGAGTGAGATGCCCAGCTTTTTAGTGCATTTTGGAATAGCACGTATTAAGAAATAGTAGTTTTCTCTAGATATTCTAAACAGACCCTCATGCACTTGTCCTAAATACAACCTATATTGTTTGCTCACTTAAGAATTACCTTTTCTGCTATACATAGACTAACTGAAGCTTGAATAGATACAGTAAATAGATTGGAAAATCATGATATAATGGCACAAGAACATTTCACACAGCACACGCTTTACACGCACGAGTTGAACAGGTAAAATCTGTGAAATAATGTGCTTCCTTCAACACAATCACACTGCAAAGTACAGTTAAACTGCTGAGGTGTTTCAGGCTTTCTGATCTTGCCTTGCATATAACAGGGGCCAGATTCTTACATATTTTGCCCTGGAGAATGGTGCTCCCCACAAACAGCCCCCCTGCAGCATGAGCACTTGCGGAGGACGTGGTTCTCCTTCCTACTGATCACAACTAGGACTGGGCCTCAGGGTGAGGCTTTCTGCACGTTGGCAGCCCCAGCAGTGCACAGCAGGATGAAGGCCCCAGAGCCATTCTGCAGTTTGTGAATTCGGCCCTTTATTTAGCCACAAAATAATTGCGCAGGTACCCTTGATGCTACATTAAAGTAACATGCAAAATACATTGATAATCTTGTCCTGCATTTTTGTTTTCCCAAGGTTATGCTTGATATGAGGAATCTAAAATCTCATTTTTAGATAGAATAGATTCTCACACGATTCAAACTCACAAACTACCTTATTTTTAATCTGTTTCCTACAACATACCAATGAGAAAAATCTGGGTATCGTGTCTTAAACTGCTATGCAAATGATGCTATTTGTAAGTATTAACATAATTTAGTGCTCACAGTCATATTCTCATTTCTAATAATTCTACCAGAATGGAGAGTCTTTTCACTCTACTCTTAGCCTGCAGGATAGTCTTTCATCAAGAAGCTGAATTTTTTAATAACCTGCCAGCATACGTTTTGTATGTGGGAGCCTGTGCCAATGACACAATGTCTTCATTATCGAAAGAAACAGGTCTACACACTGTAATAGGACATTAAAGCATGCCTGTGCTCATAAACTAATGCTTTGATGTTTAAATGTGTATCATTACAATGGTATTCTGTAACAAAGGATGATTTTAATCCTCTGCTCTCAATGGTAACGCTCGGTGGAGACTGCAGTTCATTATATATAAAAAAGGTCTCCCCCTCTACAAAAGAGGGCTCAACTCAGAAGGCAGAGAAGTGTGAGCACTCATGTTCAAACAAGATGCTCAAAATGGCAGCAAGTTTTGCTCTTCTGGCTAAGCTAACTGTAATTCTGGTCTGGATTTATGGAAGCTCTGCTGCTGACTGTCAGAAATTAGCTTAAATATGTCATTCCATTTATATTTCCCAACTTCCAACAAATGTTTAAGGGCTTCTGGAGGGTCGATTCCTGGCTGTGACAGAGCTCCACTTCAGCGCAGTGCAAAAACAAAACCAAGGAAAGCCAGTTGTCACCAGGCCCCTCATCCAGAGCCACTTAGCCATTGCAGAATTCAAACGGCAGAGAAATAGGAACACTAAAACTAACTTCAGGTAATACCACTTAAATATAGGGAATTTATACCAAAGTCCTGGACTTGATACAAACTGTATTTTATCCTGTCTTCTGCTCCTACCCTGCGCCTTCTACCATGGTAGGATCTGGGCATATCCTGCCAGCTCTGTGTACCCAGATCTACTCAATATTGGTTGGGCTTGCAAAATTATCTTGCATTATCTTTTAGCTGTCAAAAACCCAAATAATCAGCACAATTTGAAATGTTAATATGCAATATAATTCAATCAAAATTGTAAACATTTTTGATCGAATTAAAAAATCAAAACCGCTATAATGACTTGTTTATGTAAATTTAACAATTCTTTCCAGATACATTCCTTCTGGCTTTAAAACAGTTACACTACAAATGAATTTGGCGCAATACACAGAAATATCAAATGCTTATTGAAATTAACACATTTAAGTACCAATGAATATTTGAAATGCAAATAGTTTGCTCAATACCAGAACTAATGAAGTTAGCTGGATTTGTGACCTGCTTATTCAGAGCTCCAGGTGAAGCTTTTCCTGTATTTGAGATGTACCATGTTACAACCTCCTCCTGTGCTATGGATTCAAAGTTACATACTAGGGCATGAGTTCATATTTTTTTCCCCTCAGTTAGGTATTTATAGGATCTCTCTCTTTACCTAAACATCCACTGTAGTGTAATTTATAGGACGATAATTCTCTCTGAGACCCCGGGGGTTTTGTCTTATAAGGCTGAAAATGGCCAACAGGTTTAAAAGTTATTAGTAAGGACAAATGCACAGAAACAAAAATCCTTAAGAAGCCAGATTAAAAAGTGATCAGTTTGTACCTGGCCTCAAACCGATCAGTATTGTTCAACTATATTAATACAACACTTATTCCAGTAAAGCCAAGTTTCTGTAAGGCTCTACCACCTATATAGTTTTAAATACACGCCCTCCCTTTGGGCAAAAAACACTAAGATTTTTGTGTTATTGCACATTAATTAAATGGCATGATATCCAGCTTATTCCATTGCCAGACATTCGCTTGTATTTTGGAGTATTTAGGCTGCCCTTGGAATTCTGCTGACAAATTAGTGTGAAGAAGCCAGCCTGGGTTCTGGCATCCAGCCGGGACCCGCGGCTGCTCGGTCACTTACGTGGGCCCACTTGGTGCTCCAGGCGGCCGGGCCGTGCCGCTGGCGCTCCCGCTGAAGCCAGCGGTGGCATTCCAGGTGCGAGGTCACGTCGCAGAAGGCAGTGCCGTCCCCTCCACGCTCGTCGTTGGCTTTGAACAGCCAGCGCCGCACCTCCACGTTGTCCACGATCAGCTGGCTGAGGCTGTGAATCATCTGTGGACCAAGGGGTTCAGACACACTGTTTTATGCTTTTATGCTTGTGTTATCTTGGAGCCCGAAGGAAAACAATTTTGACACCTCAGCAGAGGTGAATTGTGCAAAGAGGAACCTGCCTCTTCAGGCTTCTCTGCTAGATCAGGATCTTAGGATTTGGATAATCAGCACAGCTCAATGAACATTTTTGACAGGGAATAATACTGGGTGCACTAGAATTTGAATTTGCAAAATCTGAGAAACAGCTGTGCCAGATTCTAGCATCCGCAAAGCATCTGTGAAATCCTCCTACTGTAGGGTGCATTATACGGTTATAAATACACCAAGGCATTGTGAGGCTTTTTAAAAATGGTCCTGATTATTTATCTGTACATGTACACAGATTTACATGACTTTAAACTGCCTTTTGCCCAGCTGGTGTAGCATGCAATTAGCTCTTAGAAACTGTGAATGCCATTGAACCCACTGAAAGTATTATCAGATGTCGTTGCATTACATGTATTTTGAAATAGTAATCTTTGGGACTCCTTGTTTATTTTTTGGACTTTGACCCTAAACAGAATTTGTGAGTGTTCCTGATGTTATTATTTGTGGCTTTTGAGAACCCTTAAATGTGTTTGTCTTTATGACTCCCCTACAGTAATAGGAAGGATCAATAATATTGTAAGGACTGTACCAAACCAAGGAGTTATATCCTGTCTTTAAGTGAAAATTGAATTGTGCTTTAATATAGTGTCGCCTTTCTTTGATTATTTAACCAACAAAGTCAATATTTCATACAAGCAAACAACAGAAGTAGAACTTTTCTAACACTGATGTATGAATCAAAAGTATTAGATTCATATAAATTATTTAACAACAAATCGAAAGTTTGTTGTTTTTCAGATCATTGATCATGTATTTGTTTATTCCTACTACAGAGGTTGCAATACATTGGTATATTTGAGATTTTCAGTGCTAAAAGTGATTAATAAAAAGCAAAGCAATATAAAAAAAACCTCTCTCTAGGCACTAGGAATGCTTAGAAATAATTGCCCTGAGTATTTTCCTGTATTAGTTGCAGCACTGCTATAAAAAATACTTAAAAAAAAAAAATCCACCCTATAGATCATCCTAAGACATATCATTGCAAATTGCAGTATTAGCTTACAGAATGACACATTGAGTTTCTGAATGCAAAACAATCATATGTGTGAAATGAATACACTATAGAAGACTCTTGTGCCTTCTTACTGCTATTAAAAAACAGAATTCAGTAATATTTTTGTTCTTTTCCCTATGGCTCATGCTAACAATATAGGTGAATTTAGTAATGAAAAGGTAAACACAAGGTAAAATTTCAGTTGGAGATATGCTCGGTGAGCCTGCATTTGAACAAGCTGCTTTCCTGAACGTGTGAAATTTTCCTTTCATCAAACACTTTGCTTCCCAGAAGTCCCTGTTGTATTTTCAGTGGTGAAACTCCATTTCATTGAGGCCGTGACTTCCTCTGTGGCTCTGCAACACAAGCTGCGTGAAGTAACTAGACCAAAAGGCCCTGTGTATCCTCAGGAAAGAATCTGAGGAACGCCAGAGCAACTGAATAACTTCTTGATTAGGATACGAATTACTTCTAATGGGTGAGATAAAACAGAATAAAAAAAGAGAGAAGCCTCATACATGATTTAAACAGTCTAATCAATCTAGTTTTACCATTCTACAGGTAACAGAGTGCAGTCTGCACCCTGGCTGGTGAAAACAAGCCCGCTTGCTGCCACATCCTGCTCACCTGCTCCTTGCTGTAGATGTCGGATTCTCCCGGAGGGGTCGGCACACGTGCGCTGGCAAAGATGCGTTTGCTTCCCGACTTGCTGCTATAAACATGAGCAACTTCTGGCACCGGGCCTAATATAGGCACGTTTAACATGTCAGCCACTGCCAGGTCATCTCTGTGGGGCACCCCTCCGATGATGTAGGCATCCCTGCTCCGGATGAGAATTTTTATTTTTCTGATCGTCTTGGGACTGTACATCAGCTGCGTGGAGAGACACATGTGATGGCTCTGTATAAAGACAACATTATTCTTGTTAAAAGGTGTTCTTTTCTATTCCATAAACCTAATTTATAATGTTGCACACAATAAATACATTATTAATAGCAGGCTGGGTTATGACCTATCCTGTAGCTTAGCAGTTTAAATTGATAAAAGCTGTTGGGGTGAGGCTCCATAATCGTGCACATCTTTAGTGTGTTGGAAATGGGCTCACTGGGAATAGAACTAATTACTACACATCTGTATTTATTTGATCCATGCGGAATTATCCTTCTGTCAGTCGGCAAAGAAGCTGGTGGCCTTTGGATAACAGTGATTCATCTCAGCAACACTGCTGGCACGGTTTAACTCTAAAGCGTCTAAAAATCAATACGAAAAATGAAGAAAAACCCCTATAGCAGGGAACGTATTTCACCATATAGCTCAGCAGTATTTTAAGTGATTCCCTGAGAATAAAACACTTTGATTTACAAAACCTTTCACTGATCACGTTAAATTACTGGGGATATACATTTCCATTATACAGTAGGTCTGAATGCTACTGTAAACTCAGCTGCAGAACACTGAGGGAAAGAAGAGAAGCATTTTGTGGTCTAAAGTACAGGTGTTTCAACTTTTTAGAAGCTTTATTATTATTTTTTCTTCAAAAAAATCTATTGCTGGACAAGTTGTTCAGAGAGACCATAACCTGTATATTAAAACTAAGGAGATGAGTCACAGTAGGTCAAATCTCAGCAATATTTGCTATAACACATGCTATGCATCATTTGCAGATGACCCAGATATGTTTTTGTGAGGGTATACAGGTGCACTGGATCCAACAGGGATGGATATTATGGATATTACAAGAGACACCCTTTGGAAAAGATTGCCATAAACAAATCATAACAAAGTCTTCTTTACATTGAGATCGCATCTAAATCTAGACCCAAAAAACCCACATTAGTTCTCAGCGTATCTTAATGAATTTGTTAGGGATTTGCAGGATTGGGAAACAGAGAATAGTTTCCTTTAGAGTCCTGAGTGCTCTTCCACAACAACTGAAGTCCTGATCCCATTTCATGGATGGGGATGACTGTGAACCAGAGATGGAGGCACCCCTTGAAGCGGACAAAAGGAATCTTTTGTCCCTTCCTCAAGGCCTTTTGCGCCAAAATGAGTGCCCAGGTTCCTCTGTGAAGGAGTCGAACACACTGCAGGGCCATCAGAGCTACACATCAGAGGAATGAGAACTTCAAACGTGAAAAGGGCGGCCCTGAAGTTGAGGAGAAAAGGCAGCAAAAGCGGCCTTGAGCCCTTTTTCCCGGGCTGGGTTATGCAGACACTGTCCGTGGTACGATCTGGTTGTTTCTTTCCTCTCGAGCGCTGAGGTAAAGGCGGGAGCTGGGCCGCGCCGCTGGCCTTGCCACAGAGCTCGGCCCAAGGAGAACGGGATCAATCCCAGCCCCGGTCACTTGCTCCCTGAGGGCATGAGCAGTGATGTAGGGAGATTTGCTTTGTGTCTCCCAATGAAGGATTTTACAGTTAATTAAGGAGTGTGGGAAGCAAGATGAAAAATTCAGTTCATTCGTGCTTTGTGCGTGGTATGGCTGCCACGATAGATGTTTGGTCATGAAAGCATCATCAGTAAAAGCAGGTAGGAGCAGAAGATCCAAGGAAGGACAATTCGTAGCCAAAAAGGCAAGTTCTTGGCTCTCAAGCCTGTTGCTTTTTCAAAAAGCCCTTGAGATCAGAAAAGCTGAACATCAGTTTCACCAATGGGCAAAGCTGCTGTGACACATTTTGACTCGCTGCTGGCTCCAAATGAGCATCACTTAACTGTGTGTCTGCTCAACCTGGCTGCACAGAGCCACAGAGATCCCTGCAACAGGCATCGAGCACCTAAGGACAAAGTTTGAAGACACCAATATTCTCCCAGACCCTCTCTGCCTCCCCCTGCACACACAAGGACTGGCACAGGGCTGCCTAGGTCTGCATTCCTTTGCCAACCATTTTCCCCACCAAATTTCCCCAAAATAGTGGGGAAGTTGGTTAAGGCTGATTTGTACTTCCGGAATAGCTCGCGGGAGCTTTCTAGAGATGGCCTTCACATTTTCACACTTTAGGAGTAACTTCAGACACATTTAGGTACAACAAAAGGTTTTACAAAATAATCCAGATAAAAGATACAGGAAAAAAAAAAAAAAAACCCACCATCTCTAATCATTACACAGACAAAAGGACAGCTAAATTCATGGTCACTGAAGCCAATGGGTGACTTGTATAGTTAAGAGAACAGATTCTTCCTCACACAAAAGATATCCTATATATATTCACATGTCTGATAAGTTTCAACAGAAATTGGAATGTCTAAAAATGGTCTGCTTTTACATGAAAAATAATGCATCTAAACCACTGTGACCAAAAAACAGTCGCTAAGCGCATCTTCTATTCCTGGCTAGCATGTCTACGTTGATCAGTCCATAAAACGAAGGTTTTACGATTTTTTGGGTGGGAGGGGGGAGGTATATTTTACTTAGAAGTCTCTTTATAACTTCTGACAAGTGATAGCTAGTACTGGAGAAATGAGCTAGTATCCAGAGGAAAAAAGCTAAAATTATTGAAGTTCAATGGAGAAAAACAAAACAAACAAAAAAAACGTATTCTTGGTGTTTAGCAAGATTTATCCACCAAGTAACATATTTTATGATATAAAGAACCAAGTTTTGGCTCAGCACAGGTGCTTGCAATGTCAGCAAGTTTCTGATGTCCAGATAAAAGGCTTAAACTAAAGAAGCCAGCCCTTAAAATACACATAGTATCATTCTGATGATTTATCTCTAGCTTCGGAGTAAAAAACCTACATATGCAGAAAGTCACACAGTCTTAACTATGGCAAAACTAGCAGACAGCTCTGACTCAGTAGTTACATACACCTAAGTGCTTTGCTGAACAGCATGCTAATACAGAGCTACACTTCGGAAGCAACATATTTACTAAATAGGCAAAAACTTCTTTTTTAACTTTCCGAAGCCATTAATTTCAATCAAAATACAGTACAAATCATGATACAAACACTTGTTTATCAAAATGCCTAGGAGAAGGATATATTTTGAAAACAGGAGTAGGGCCCTGCATATAGACACTAGAGATAAAATGTATCACAGAATTTCGTAAAGGTCAAATCTCAGCTAAGGTATTGTGGATTTAATAGTTACAATATCTAAGTCTTCACTGTATAGTACCTTCACTGCATTGCAGTATTTTCAGAAATACTGTAATATATACTGTATATAGTAGTTTAGGTCTTTTTTTAAGACTGTGTTCCAGCATGTGGATTAAAAAATGGCTTGATAGGTTGAGAACTAATATTTCAGAATTTTTGTAGTTTCAAATTCTGTTCTTTAAGAAGCTCTGAGTAGGATTTCCTTGCAACAAATACTCCAAACACATGAATGACTGGATGCTGGGCTGCCCAGAGATAAAGTTTGAGTATTAAGAATGGTTTATTGCTATGATTTGCTTAGAGATATAAATCTATCAGGTTCACAGTCCCCAACATATACTACGAATGGACAGTGGTCTATAGGTAGCTAATATAGGACTCTCTCAACTAAGTCTATAAAGCTAAAGTGGGATATTTATTTCCAGTGCTCTAACTAGTAGTCTAATCAGTAAAGCTCTTAAACTTGCAATAATATTTCACTGATGTGTACCAGAGCGTTACAAGTTATAAAATTTCCAATTTAATTTTACTGCATCCCTCAAGCTGTAGTAATTAGAAGACAAACTCACAGGGAAGCTGTTTATAGCTTCAGGGGTGAGAATTCTGAACCTGTCCTGCAGGTCACCCATGTCCTCAGGGTTCCCAGATCTAACAGCTGCCTGCAGACCCAGGAGTTTATTGTAATACTGCAGTAACTCCTCACTCAGATGAAGGGGGCAGATGTAGATGACGTCCACGTTGGCATCTAAAACAAAGGGGCACAATGTTCATTACTGGGAGAAAGGTAGGCTCCATTCAGAACAGCGATCTGATCGTCCCTCAGCATGTGCTCGCAAACAGCTTCCTTAGAAGAAGGCAGAAAACAAAAATGGGATCGGTAATTCCCAAATCTTCACGGTTTAACTGCTTTTTCTGTGCTTCAGCATTTCTCTGAAGACAGGTCAGCAACCCAAAGAAACAGCTAGTTTTCAGAATTCAATCTGCAGAACATACTGGGGGCAGATTTTTCAAAGTGTTGCAGGGGGATTTATCCGCGCGACTCACATTAACATCAATGGGAATTGTGCACTGCTTTAAAAATATATCCCATTAACTTCAGTAAATTATAGAACTGAGCTATTAAGTTTAGAAAGCTGATGAAATTGCAATTTCATACTCTTGCCTTGATTTTGCATGGCCTGATCCTATTCTTGTCCTGTCCACATAAAAGCTCACGGTAGGATACCATTAATAATCATTGCTGAGCATGTGAGTGTGCAGATTAGCTAGTTAAATACCACAGTGTGAGAATCTGCTTTTTTGCATGTGAAACAACTTGGGCTGAAAGACAGCATATACACAAACCCTGAGAGGTGGGAATGTGAAAAGCATTAATATACGTCATTTTGGAAAGTTTAAACCACTAGGTTCTTCTAAAATAAGAAAGTTAATAGATGAGCTAATGAATTAATTGGCCTTGCAACATCAACAGAACTTGCTGCCAAAAAGCCCTCCTAGATTTTGATCCAGCTCCTGCCAAAATCAGTAGGAAATCTTTCATTGTCTTTATTGGGCACAGGAATAAGAGCTCTGAAAGTGCCAGGGACAAATGTTTTTAAATGGGAATGAATCAGAAGCAAAGCAAACACTGGGAAAAGGAAAACCTGATCTTGACAGTAAAAGGATTGGGATACCCTCCTGGCTCGCTTTGTTTTGCAGGAAAATAACCCACACTTGAAATATCAGGCCAGAATTTTGACTAAAGCATTGCAGCCTCTGACAATCAACGCCATGTCCCAGCCTTGGTGCAGCCTTTATGTTACACAAATCAGTATGGAACAACTTTTAAAAACACTTGAAAAACACCCCACTAGATCTTTAGTCAATATTAAAGATTGTATTTCACTCAGACTTGCAAAATCAGCCTGGAAATTTACTAGTGAGGGGACTAAAAGCTTACTCAGTCCTGTTAGTTGCAATGCTGAAAGCGCTGTCAAAAACTGGCAAACCCAAGTGAATTTGGTGAGTTAAATGCTGCAAAACAGTTTACTGCAGCAGCACTACCCTTTGAACAGACAAAAGTCTGCTTTGGACACAGTGGGGCTCTGGAGACAGATTAAATAGTAGCAGGTTGCATCAAGCAAGGATATCCTTGCAAAGAAAAAGAAAACCTGTATAGTAAATGCTAATGTCCCTCGGCCAGGCACAGGTAAAACATTATATAGTTAATTCAGTTAATAATTGACTAGTTCGTACCTTACTTGTGATCAGGTTTATATTTTACAGTGGAACCAGTTTTCATGTTCAGAAATTTAAAGGTGAGAAAGAATGCCTGAATAATGTGTTGACTTAGTCCCTTTAAGCATCTAAATATCATTTTAGAGATTACAAAAAAACACTATGTTAAAAAATTGAAAAAATAAAACTGTGCAATGGAAAAACAACATTAGCACCCAGATAATATATAAAAGCAATTACATTATTATTTTAGGCAACTGTAAATTTCTACATCTAATACATTCTTGTTACAAACTTACCAAATGGCATTTATAAAATAATAATGATACTGAAATATATATGAATCACGCAAAGTATGTCATTCCAGGGAGCCAATGAAGCTGGTCATTGACAAACAATATTCTTTGGTGCTTTACTTAGAAGAGGACTGTCATTCTAGTAAAAAGTTTTTAATATATACTGCTTGCCTCATCTGCTAATTAAAAAAATGGTTTAAATAAGAGTTCACTGTTTTCTAGCACATCTTTCTCCCCATATGAGGCTGAATGCTCGTAGCAGAATTAGCTACCTAATTTTGTAGGACTCCAAGCACTTTGGCTCGCTCGTGGTGCTCAGCATGCCACGGGATCAGGCACAGAGTCAGAAAGAAGCAATAGGTTCTTCTTATGAACAATTTGGGCAGGGGCAAATGGTAGAATAGATAAATTACCTCTGAACATGCATCTTCTCGATATTCAGTACTAGTACAGCAAGAAAGTCCCCATCAGACATTTGTTTTTACTCACAAATATGGGTAAATAACAATCAAAACACAGGCAGGCACCAGCTCATAACGTACCCAGTATGTCGCACAGCCTTCCCATCTGCAAATTCTGCTGAAGAGCAAGATCAGGAATATGCTCACGGATGCACTGGGAATACCCTGGAAAACAAGCAAAGCTCACCTCAAATCTATTCAAAAACCTCGGCATATATTTGAAATATATATATATTTAAGGTAAAAAAGGTAACAAAAGTATTTTAAATGCCAAAGGTGCTATTGCATAAAGCACATATTTTTTATGAATTTTATTAATGAATTGATGTAACATCATTTTTGTGTGACAAAATTCTAAATAAAGACCAAAACATTACAGACTTAGAATAATTCAAAACTACAGTCATTTGAGTATTTTAAGCTGTTTTTTTTTTAAAAAAAAAAAACAGAAGAAAAACATGTTATCATCATTAAGTGAGAAGCCTGGTAGAATGGTGGTATTTTTTGTCCTTCACACAGACAAGAGACAACAAAAAGATTTCATTAAAGAGAAGTCTCGGTGATAGCAGCTCACTGCTACAGAGGCAGAGTGAGTGGCAGCCTGCGTGAGCCAGGATTTTCTGCTTGCAGGTTACACTGATTGCAAACTTGCATTTTAACAGACTGCTGCAAATGATGTGACCATTGTAATCAGCATCTCTAATTCTGTAGATATTCAAGTGAGTTAATTCCAAGTTAATCAGTGTGTATATACAAGCACACAAACATCGTGCAAGCTGTGACTGAATCAATAGTAAGTTCAGCTGAACATTCAGTATCTGACAATTTTTTGACTGATCTGTTAAAAAAATCCATGTAACATTTCCATATATCTGCACATGACTAATCATCTGAAACTCAGGAAAACTTAGTCTGACTGAAAGTTGCTCAATATTTCAGTGCTTTCATTCTGGAAGATAAAAACAGAAGCTCTGCCAGGCAAAACCGCTC